ACATAATGATGAGTCAGACACCAGTCTGAGTCTCGATCCTTTGCAAGATACCTGTTTATTACTTTCTAGATGCTTTTCAGAATTTGTACATTTTCCTCTGGGGGAATTCGTCCGCTCTGTCCCATTCATGATGCTCTCCCCTTATTATCTCTGCTCTCTCTTTACTAGTGAAGTATAGAACGTCCCTGTTTCCTACTTTATTACTGAGTTGTTCATTTTGCAAACCGATTTTAAATTTTCAATGATCTTAATTTTTAATTTCTTTCTTTTCCATAGCAGCAGTTTTTAAAAGAATGCAATAAACACTTGAGTCTAAGGATATAACTTAGCACTTTCTTTTTTTCTTTTTTTTAAATTGAAGTATAGTCAACTACAGTGTGTCACTTTCTGGAATACAGCATAATGTTCCAGTCATGCATATATATATACATATGATCATTTTCATATTCTTTTTCATTAAAGGTTTTCACAAGATATTGAATACAGTTTCCTGTGCTATACAGAAAAAAATTTTTTTTAATCTATTTGTATATATAGTGGTTAACCTTTGCAAATCTCAATCTCCCAGATTTATGCCTTCTCAAGACCCTTTCCCTTGTAACCATAAATTGTATACTATGTCTGAATCTGTTTACTGAGTCTGTTTCTGTTTTGTAGATGAGTTCATTAGTGTCCTCTTTTTCTTTTCTTTTTCTTTTTCTTTTTTTAGATTCCACATATGAGTGATATCATACACTATTTTTCTTTCTCTTTCTGGCTTACTTCACTTAGAAAGACAACCTTCAGGTCCATCCATATTGCTGCAAGTGGCGTTATTTTATTCTTTTTATGGGTGAGTAGTATTCTATTATATAAATATACCACAACTTTTTTTTTAATTGAGTTATAGTCAGTTTACAGTGTTGTGTCAATTTCTAGTGTAGAGCACATTTTTTCAGTTATACATGAACATACATATATTCATTGTCACATTCCTTTTTCTGTGAGCTACCACAAGATCTTTATATATTTCCCTATGCTATACAGTATAATCTTGTTTATCTATTCTACATATGCCTGTCAGAATCTACAAGTTTCGAACTCCCAATCTGTCCCTTCCCACCCCCCTCCCTGTTGGCAACCACAAGTTTGTACTCTATGAGTCTGTTTCTGTTTTGTATTTATGTG